GTACGAAACACTCGCTTTCACGATCTGAAACGAAAGCACTAGTAAATACCGAGCAACTATCTCATTAATTGTCTAATAGCTTACCTCAGCGAAACTGTCCAAGTTTAATTGTATTAATCCACCGGCGGTTAATAAAGGAGGAAGCAGGTTTCTTCGTAATACCAGAACTAACAATGCTTGTGTCTTCACGTCTGCATAATACCAGCATGTCTGGTATCTATAGAATATTACAAACATTCTATAAAACATAATACTATACACAAATCTGAAACTAATAATTAAATGATAAATTCATTGCTAGTATATTAACGTGGAGAAATCTTGTATGATAAAACAAATTTTTAAGAAGTTCATTTGCATGATTTTCTGGCAAAACGTATTTCCGATTAATATTTTCTAAGGATTAAAAAACAATGTCTAAAGTATTTTTCACCCCTGCTGATAGACGATATCGTGCAAGTCCATCACGAATTGGCCTTGAACCGTTAGGAAGAAGATATGCACCAGCTGAGTGATAATAAATCCATAATATTGATAAGTGTCCATAGACAGCGTCACCGAAGCTACCTATTGTTTTAGATAATTCATATTTGCACTATTATTAATTTCGCATATTAGATCAAAAGTGAGGCGTTACTCACTTTTAGTAACGTAATGGTAAAAGTCAATACGACTACACCCACTTGTATGAATAGATTCAGAGCATAAACGCCCTCGATTTCGGTGAGGAACCTGGTGTTAAATCTCGTTTAACAAGTGCGATCTATTTCTTATTTTGTCAATTTATTCATACGATACTAACGTGAGAGCTCGTTTGTGAGTTTTAATAGCGTAACATACTTTCTTGTACACCAACTCTTTGTTGATTTTCTCTGAGTTTGTCAGTGAATAACCGGTGCCCATGGAATACTTGAAACGATGTCTACGATAATGTTCAACAATATTTAAACAGAAGTATAAAATTTAATAATCAACAAGCTCCTCTAGTTTCGTTGTATTCTTGCTATTGTTTTATGATTAAAAATGGAAATGGTGATGATTACCCAGCAAGGGACAGTAGGCCGCAAACGTGTTGCACCATGTAGAGCAGAATCGTGTCGGTTGCGATGAAAACGCACATCGTACTCAGCATGCATGCCATAGTGTATAGCATAATGAAAACGTAATAATCATCGTTATTTTCGACAAAATAATAACCCGGATACATCTCGACTAATGGCCGTGACTCGTTTAGGGGTATGAACACGTCCATCACACGCGGTATGAAGGGCAGGCAGAAAAACACGACCGAACAAAAATATATGTTCGCTGGAACATTAACGTGGGAAGCTTCCGTTTTAAACAATACTTTTAAAAAATATATTATGCATGTACATATAACACAGTTGATTAATACTTCGCATTCTTACTTGTATACACGTACGTGTAGAACACTCCCTTGTTCGCGTACTCCTTCATAATGTTCTCCTCTTCCTCGGTTCTCTCATCTTGCCAGTCTTTTACCATATTGATAAATAATTCCTTGAACTATAAATATTGAAACGTGAAACACTTTATTTTATTATTACACATGTTCCGACAAACAAGTAACAAGATCAAAAACTGTTCGTGCTACTACTTTTTCCGATTTGATCAGATGTCTCACCTTATCGGTGTTAATCATGTAATTACTGAACTTCACGTACATAGCGACCGCTACCATTAAGAATGGTACCTGATCCACTATAGCACTGATGCTGAAGTACACTATGACTTGAGCGGTCTAAAATCAGAACCAAATTGATCAATTATTTGAAGTGCTATCGTATAAGTATGATAGATGGACGCGGTACCAATTGATGCAATGATCAATTAATTCTATAATTCTTCGCAATGAAATTAACGCACCTGCGTGACCAGCGCCGATATTACGAGAAAATGTACGATAGCGTAAGAAATGAACTTCTGTGATTTCGTTATGAACGGCCATGTGCCGACAATAGTCCCATACGCTCTGGTCACAGTAAAATATTGCTTCACGAACTTTTCAAAATCCATATTTTTTGACACGAATCAAGTTAAATTTCATTCGAGTCTCCTGCGGATAACGATTTTAAGGATCACCTTCGGCTTGCTTATATTTCTTTGAAAACCGCGCAGCAATAGTGTTCGCGAAAATGAAGAAACTGGCGATTGAACATTTTTGTTCACGTCCCTCACAGTATAATTTTAGTAATATCTGCAGGTACTTTTCCGGTTATACATAAGGTTGTCTGATTAATGAATAAAACAAACTAATCGAGCTGCGTGCAATTTCAGTCTCGTGTCTTTACTGTTACCGTCTAATTACGATATTTGAGTCGCTATTCGCTTCAATTTAAGTTCACATAGTTATTCACATCGTTACGGAGTCTAAAGGATAATTCGTATCATGCGAATCCGCGTATGGCATCTGAAAAATTAATAGAAGCAGATTGGAGCAACCCTTTCATCATCGATTCTACCGTGTACGAAACGACTCGTTTGTAAAACGTACGAATTGCTGCATTCGAACGAACGTAAAGTAACAGACAATTAGATATCATGTCTTGTACTATGAAGAAGAATTAAATTCAGTGCAAGAGGAAAGTGCAGGAGGTTCTTGATGCTTTAATCCCCAATGAAGGGGAAAGATGGTATGGTGTCAACAACAATGATTTCATTCTTTTTATTATTTAATATGAAACATCATTTATTTATGCTACGATAGTTGCCAATAAGATTGAATTTCAACTTTTAAGGTAAAATAAAAAAGGACTTTTATAATTCGAAATTGTGACTATTGGAGGCAAGATCCAGACGAGGTTTACAGGCTATTTCTCTTTCACAGCATGTTATTGGCTACAACAATAATATTCCTCACTTATCAATAAACGATTTAGAAGCGATTTGGATGATATAGATAAACTATATCTTTCTCTTTCTACACCTTTATCTACATTTTCGACAGACAAGAAAGCTGCAGTAGTATACGTTTTACGAACAGAACTATGAATTTGCACACCATATGGGTGTTGTGTGTGACACTTCATTTAAAATGTACTTAAATTTTCAAATCATTGTTATCCTTCTTATTGCTTTTTTATTTAGTTTCTCTTCGTTTCTCCTAAAATACACTTCGAATAATTTTGAATTTGATGACTCAGATCAAGTGACGTTTTACGTATTATGTAAATGAGCAAGAAGAATGTGCAGGAGAGAAAGGATAATGGAACAGAATGGTAGTATATTGAAAAGAAGGGAGAGATGGAAGAGTTCAGAGAGAGAGAGAGAGAGAGAGAGAGAGAAGAGGGTAATTTGAATAGCTACGGTTAAGTGGTGGCTGCTATATTGTCGCTAAGAAACGAAAATAGCTACTGTTAGCCCCAGAACAGCTAGGGAAAGAGAGGACGCAGCAAGAATTAACGAACAAGACGATGAAGGTGGACCGAGAATAACCAAAATGAAACGAATGAGGGTGGTGGTTCACCGAAACCTGGAGTGAAATTAGGCACTGTCACTTGCCGTTACATAACTCTATTTACTTCGGTATTACTCGAGTTATAGCGAGACGAGAAAATTGCAAACGTTTGTACATTTCATTATTAGCAAATCTTTTATTGCACTCCTTGTATATAGTTTATAATAAATACACTTTTGTAATTAAAATTTTTCTATACTGTTACCAGTTTCTTTCTATTGTGATTTTTTAAAGATTTTAAATGAATCTTTTTGATAACGAGAATTCAATTTCAGCGTGCATCTTTCTGGCAGCGGAACTAATCAGCAGATTTTGGGGTGAATCCATTGCTCTCTGCTTTCTTAACATATTTCTTGTATGCGAAATTCGCAAATCGTCGCGTATTTGGCGCTCGATCACGACTATTGTCACATATTTGGCGCCAATGGTAAAATACCGTCACATATTTGGCGCCTAACATCGGTTACCATCATATATTTGGCGCCGAATGCATCACGTCGACACGTTAATATGATCAGTCAGTATTATGTGATTTTTGGACAGACACGAGTCTGAGCATATATGTTAAAAAGTGAAGACTTCAATGTTTTAAGGAACGATCGTGTAACTGCATGTTCCTCAACTATCTGAAAATAGTTTATTGACTAACATTTCGATTCACTTGCCGATCGATTTCAAGCGAGCCTCGCTGCGCTGCGTGCGTTATGGTATAAATTCGTACAGATATTTTTAGAAGTATGCCGCCATAAACATAAATACTCCAGAGGCAACACCGTACAAATTCTGCCAAGATTTTCAATAAGAGAAAAACAATTGATGGACAGAATTAAAATATTAATTTTATTCAATACAAATAAATCATATGAATTAAATGTCTTTTTATAATTTTATTTCTTATCAAATCACCGTTTTTGGTGTAAATAGCAGAAAATCATATGAGATTCAATTTTTTTCTTAAACGAGATATGCAAAGTCGAGGAAACCGATCGGTGCACCGGTACTTCCTTCCGAGCGGGGTAGATGTTCTTTTATTTATAAAAAATGTGTTTCGAAATAGTTGTTCGCGGAGCATTGGCTGCGAGGTATTGAAACAAGTGGGTCGTCACTGGTTGGCGCTCATTCCCTTTCGACGAGACGTAATGCAACACCAGTGTTCCTCTTGTCTCGCAGCCAAATTGTTTTCCGTTTAGCGCTCACTGAGAAGTTCGACTGCACGATTATGAGCATGCATTCCTCCCGGCGCTGCATTTCTCGATGACCTTGCGTGAAACAATAGAAAATTTCTTCTGCACTTGCGCCGCGTCTGGTAACGAGTTTCCTTCTTACGAGGAGATATCAATTTTACATAATTTGCATACTCTTTTCAAATATTATTTAGTCGAATGTATTATGAGTCAAGAAGAATGGAATTAAATGACACATTATTTTATTTTGTTAATACGTATTATAAATAATTTTTTTCCGATTAAAAGAAATACTGCGTTATGTAGTATAATAATTACTGACCATCAAAATTGATTAATCATGATTTAATACGAAAAACGTCACAAAAAAATTCTGAGCCGAGGGCGGACAGATTTGAAAATTCTAAAAAGGGAAAAACGATCAATCAATTAATTTAACGTTGAACACAACAACAAACAAGCCCAGTCGCTGGTGAAAGTAAAAAAAATTGAGGATAGAATAAGAGAGTTCGATGAATGGGAAGCGACGAGGAAAAATCGAGACGTGGTTGGTCCGATAGAAAATGCACGGAAATGTAGAAATACTTCATCGTTACGTTGTTGTGCGTAATTTTGCGAACGAGCCAAATTCGAGTTCAGTAAGATGACTCAAACCTCAAGGCTCCGGCTCCGTTCACTTCGCTTTACTTCGTTCGGTCGACGTTGGCCCGGTTTATCTCCGGCCAATCCCGAAATAATCTTAGATTCGGTCTCTCCTACTCTTACTCCGACGCCCGTCTTCTCTAATGCGAGGCCTCCCCGCCTCTTCCTCGTCTTCTTCACCATCGTTTGTCCGCATTCGTGCGACCGACTTTAATGTAATAATAGGTACATCCTGGAATTTCGATACAGTGATTCACATGGATTCCCTTTCCGTTATTATGCCTTCGATTCGTCCTCTTTATGTCTTACGTAACCAATTATCAAATATCGTTACATATTGCATACACAGCGCGTTGCGAAGCTGGGTGTTGTTTTAAAATACATTCCATTTCGTTGTTACAAAACTTACAGTACTTATTATACAAATACATTCACTTAGTCCTTTGCTTTACAGGAAACAGGATGAATCAGAGTTTACCATCCGAAGAGAGCTAACGCGATTCATTTCATTATACTGCGGAAAGGTTAAATTTGTATTTCAAACAAACACAAAACAGCCACGTTCTTATTTTAATACTTTACTCAATGCAATCAAAATACCCTTAATTTCCATCCTTCAATAATTCATCCTGTATAAATTGAATGAATGAATTTCGGCTTAAGAATAGATATAATTATACGACTAACTACTGATTGGTATCAGGATTTATTAACTGAAGCCTGTCCAAGAATAATCAAGCCAAATTCTTAATTATTAGTGCTTCAGTTTTTAGTTAATTACGTGACTAATAAAACTGTCAATGGTTGCATACTCGCCGACCTGTCATCAGTTTCTAAGACCTGTAAGCTTGCTATGTCTATACGACATAATTATAATTAAATGATTAATCCATATCGTAAATCAGTTTGTAAGATTCGGTTTTTTAAATACAGTCCGTTGTAATTATTATTAACATGCCGAAGCGGCCAGACGTTTCTCGAACTGCTGGTGACGGTGGGGGACTTTGGCTGGGTGAAGAAAGCAATACCTTCACCTTGGTTCCCGAACAATCTTTTAAAATTTGGACAGCCGAGCGCATATCGATTTTACATCATAAGCACAGGTTGTTTTAACAGTCGCGCAATAAACATCGGTAGGCATGGCATCCGCCCGCGTCAGAATCTTAATTTACCAGCGGTGTTGCGCAACCAGTCTATTTCCATACATTCCGAATACCGCCACTGTCTACACATTCATAGTATTTCCTATTTAGCCTAAAACAACCGTAGCGCAGGAGTTGCGCGCGGTAAAACCAGTGCATATAAGGAAAGATTTGTTGGCGTACGTGTAGACATTGTCAGCGTGAACCGAGGCTGCTAATCTATATTAAAGCTTTTGCAAAGTTTAATTTTATTCATATTAAGAAAGGAAATTAAATGAATTGAATAAATAAATGGTGGTTGGAAATAAACAATTTTTCTCTGCCAATCATTATGTATTTGCCACCTGCAATCGTTTAATAGTAGACTGTTCGACGAATACTATGAATGAGCGAAAGTATAGGTTCGATGTTGAGAAATGTCCAAAACGACTATCTGGGAACATCCGAAAACTCTTTTACCTGTGAATGAATGAATGAGTAAGCGAACGGACCAATGAATGAGACGTTTTTGCAAAATCATGCTGTTGCAAATCTAACCGAGGTGATTAATTTCGAAAACTTGATTATACACTGAATGTTGCGATACTTTGCTTTTGCATACTCGCGTAATGTACGGACTCTTCAGTTTTCTGTATATTTAAGTTTCTCACAAAGCATCTGGTCAGTGCAATGCGTTGATCATCGTCTTCTATTATCTTTGTTGACGTCAATTTATAAAATCCTCGACCGATGGGTGAAAACGAAGTTCGCCCTAGAAACTGTTTCGCTTGCACCTCCTGCGAACGGATGTCATAAGATGTGTGGCCGGATGTATTAATAGACAAGTGAAGACGTATATTTTCGACTGTTCGCGCACGTTCCTATCTTCGATTGGACGATTCGATCAACGTGTCGATCAGGGTTATAGGTTTCACCGATTAGTCACTCTCTGCAATGAATGATGAAATATTTCATTTGCATCGAGGCTAATTCCGTATGATAAATTAACGAAACGCATACGTTATCTCTTCTTGTTTAAACGTTCCTAGTGTTCAAAGAATAAATAAACAATTTGCCACATTAATATTAATTTTCGAAACATTAAAAATAGTTGCACAAGAGCGTTGCTCTCACGGTTCGTGATACATGTTCCTAAATAAGTTTCCTTGTTTATTTATCTAGAAACGCTGATCTGGGCTCTCAATCTTGATAAGAAGCCGATATTTGAAATCGTGAACACCTGTTGAACAAATGATTATAAAAATCAATGCTATTTTTAGATTATACGTGGAGGTAATTAAAAGATTAATTAATATACATACGTTTGCGTTACATACGTTCACGTTACGTTGTGATATTTTTATTAACGTACATACGTCGTTTCTGATGTATTATACATATGTAATGTGCAATTGTATTGCAAACCAATATTATTATTGAATATCTAAAATTAATTACAAATGTACATACACACTTTATAATCGGTTGAAGAAATGATTATTTATATTATTAATAGTATTAAAATTCTTTCACCATTTGCACAGGGATACGTATAATGTTTAATTAAAAATATACGTATAATTTTTAATTATAATTTTTAATTAAATTTTATTAAAAAATGTTTAATTTCTCAAGTGGTTATCATTTATTAGTTCTCTTGCGTTAAATTCATTTATCGCTACCTAATTTATTCACATCAATTTCTGAATTATGTACACAATTTTAAAATACACGCGTATCCTATAGTATTCCGTATGTCTGACTAGATAGTTTCCACTACTACTGCCTGTGCGCTAGCTACGAGTGCCGCTTATTAAAGTCAGAGATAGTCTTACTGTTTTCCAAAATCTATTTGATATTACGGAAAATATAGAAATGTAAATAAAATACTTTATCATGTATCAATACCTTATCATTTGACATAATTATAAATTCTTTTACTGGCATTGAAGTATTTATAATTATTGTATTTGCTTCTGTTTTAATCCAATTCATTAATTTGTATATTTAAAATTAGTTTACGTTAATAAAGAGATATCTTTATCTATATAAATGAGAAAACATATTTTCGCCGCGACATCCCCCGGGAAAGGCACCAGACGAACCGACAACTGTTTCCACTTGTAGATTCTAGGTCAAGCTTCCTCGTCGCGTGGTAAAACCTTCGAGACGTTCGCCGTACAGTTTATAGAATTTTCACGGATCTGGCATTGCATTCGTGAATGCATAAATAATGCGTTTAATATAAACGCATATAAATAAATTGATGTATGAATAATCGAAATGTTTAATGTACATATAAAAATAGTTTCGAAGTAGCAAACAGCAGAAGGCGTTGGGACGATGTGACTAATGCAGAGAATACTGTCCCAAGAATTAATAAAGCAGCGCGCGGGCGTGCCGATGTTACTCACCTTAGTTTTTGATATATCATTTCTTACATAAGGAGGTGAAGTATACTCTAAGTATGCTATACAAGAATGTACTGACCTGGCCAAAAGATAGTGTCAGAACTCCCGAACAGAAAACGGTGGATCCTCTTACTGTCCAGTTTAACAATTTTAGATTCAAGTCCACTTGTAGATTTCATCACTGATTATTTCAATTCGTTTGAAATTCTCATGTCTCAAATAATTTATCGCAGTAAATTAAGCTTAACCAGGGAAAATTATGTACAACAGACACCGTTAATTCTGATCTAATGAAACAGAATCTGAATATGTATGAAGACCGTGAACGTTTGGGGAAACTCTAGATGTTGAAGACTGTACGTCTCTTCCAGGTTCTAAAGAGAGGAGCCAGCCGCAATTTATTCATCAAATGTGTCCGCCGCGGGCTATTATCGAGCACGTGCGTCTTGCACGTGCACCAGTGATCTTGATGTATATCAAAAACTCGGTATCTGCAGCCATGATCTGCTCCCGGTTCGAGCGCCAGGGGTAAGACCAGCGGCACGATGATCGTTTCTCATCGAGCGGTTACTTCCGGTCGGAAATCAGGGTCGAACGGAAGAGTAGTACAGGCAGGGGTCAGAATGCAGCGAGAGGAGAGGAGAAAAATGGTAATGCCGCGGAGAGAAGACGAGCCTGCCGAAGGTAATTCCCTTTGTCTCCCTCCGGCGGCTATTTTCATCTCACTCGGTCCGATCGAGGCGGTTGTAGCTTTCCGTGGCCACCCCTTGTCACACTTTTGGTATCATCTCCACCTAAAAAGGTAGATTGGCCCAGGAACTAACGCGGTCCACGATTGGCGAGGAACAGTGGCCAATCGTCGGGCTCGTTACATTCTAGGATCACGTTGCACGCGCTTATATTGGGAGCCCCCGCGCGTTTCCCTGACAGAACGGCTCTCTAACGTAAGTGCAGAACGTCGGTGGTTCATCCTGATTGTCGGCGTTTTTTTTTTTTATTCCTTTTTGATTACGCGACGTCTGGCCGTCGCGTCGTCGGTACGAGAGAACCGGAGAAAAATAAAAGAACAACGAGGAGGGAGGCTGAGCGCGAGCGTAATAGAAGTAACGAGATTTGAAGGGTGGCGAAGAGACTAGGAAGTCTCGGGGAGGAAGTAAACGGAAGGTATAGGAAAGAAAAAGAAAACCGGTGATTGTGAGGAAGGGCCTAGGGGGATAGCCAGATCCAGTGTCCAGTGATTCGTCCGCTCTTTGCGACTCACCCCTTCTTTAACGGGGGATCCATTAGGTAAAAAGAGTGTGATTTGGCAATTGAATTTCCTGTTGATCGAATCAGTGATTTATCGAGCTTCGAGCCTCGGCATGTGACGTCGGTTTCGAGGTGCAACCCTTACTCAATTACTAAGGAATTGAATAGGAGTCTCGAGGAAGGGACTCAACTTCAGTGCGCGCTCTTTCTTCTGGTGAACGGAACAGTGCTCCTTGTCCAGTCTTCTGCGCGTTCTTATTCACCCTATTTTCTATCCTGTTCTTCGCAGTGGGACTCTCCGAGCTTCGCGAGTTTCAACGGTCGGTGACGTCATTGGTGATGTACATCCGGGTACCAGTGCGACATTTAACGGTGCCATTAAAATGAGAGAACATCTCGAAGGCGAGGTATTCTCGAACCAACCGTCGAGGTTCGATCTTCGACAAACGAAAGGCTGAAGTTCTAAGTGCTGCGTGCAGTAGTTTCAAGTTACCAGGAATAAGTTCGCAAGATTTCGTCTTCGATTCTCTCTGTCGGAAAAAAAAAGAGCGCATCTAAGAAAGCCTGTCGTCCGATTGTTCAATCTTAGACTCGGAAGTTCCTTCTTCGAGAAGTACTCTTAGCCTCTCTTCTTCCTTGGCAAAGTAAAAATCGAAATTTCGGTTACGAGAGAAGTGCGCGGCATTCGAAACACGTGACCCCGCGAAGGTACAAGTTTGGAAACGTTTGAGGTGTAGTGTGCGCCATCTTAGTCTCGTTGTGCAGTTCCAGGAGCACGTTGCTTTTTTTGGACGGGCTGGGAATACTGGTGTCTTGTTTCAACGACTAGATTGATTTCCTATTTTTAACCGACCCTTTTTCTCAATTGCTTTATTCTACTCGCGTATTCCCCGCATACTTCCTACAGTTCATCACCGTTCTTCGTTGAGTGATGGACAGCACATATCTCCGCGCGTCCCTTTACCACCAAACCGGAAACGATTCCCTTTTGAAATTTTCTGTTTTAATCAGATTCTCATTATTGACATTCTACTATTACGGTAATCTTTATAGATTTCAAACAATTATAGGCCCTTCCGTATTTTCTTCTCGTTTACTTCCTCATAAAAAATAACAATATTATAAAAATGTGCCAAAATATAGTCGCTCTTATTCTTTTGCTGTTACACAACAGATCACTATTGCGTGTCTTCCTGTTGGTTACCAAAGAATAACATCGTTACGCAATAATGATATTACGACAATATATTACATACGAAGCTTTTAAGTTTCTTTTAAGTTAAGATACTTATGACTGTTTATCTAGTGGAATTTATCAATCGTTGTTCAGTTATTAACATTTCTTTGGAAATGAATTTTTCAAATTTTTTTTCCAATTTCCAGTTCTCTCGTTTCGAACGAAAATGTTTATTGATTTTGAGATAATATTGCGATTCCACTGTGCCAATTGAAACAAAACCGGGATGAAATTAAGTTTCATTATTGATGAAGTGTATTATTATTTTACTAGCAAACTCGCGGCTGTGGAATATTTTTTATTAACGGCACAGTGGCACCGGCAATAATAATATCGCGGAGCGTGCGTACCGGCCCGCGAGGAAGCTGGCCTAATAATAACGACGGCTGATTGTTTGTAAAATAGGGCCGCCCAGAACGTGCCGCCAGAAGTAGTCCGTCCGCCGCCGAATTCTCCGAGGAACGAGAACAAGAGCGAGGAAACGAAGGAAAAACTAGATAGTTTCTTCCCACCCCGCGACGCACGTGGGAAAACAACGACGTAGAAGGCACGCAGACCTTCCTGGAAACGAGAGGAGCGTATAAAATAAAAATTCAAACCTATCGAGTAAGAAGAGGAATCGAAGATGCCGCCTAAGCCGAAGCAACCGGAAGAGGAACCGGATCCAACCCCGTATCTGTTCGTCTCCCTTGAGCAGAAGAGAATCGATCAGACGAAACCGTACGATGCGAAAAAGGCGTGCTGGATACCCGATGAGAAAGAGGGTTACCTCCTTGGTGAGATCAAGGCTACCAAGGGTGACATCGTTTCCGTTGGACTGCCCGGTGGCGAGGTAATTTACTCTTCTCTCACCTTTTGACGCACAATTTTTCACGAAACTCGGATAAAAATTGATTTTTCTAATAGAATATTAAATTATTTTATTATTCGTCTGACGATATTGAATTTATTCAACGTTTCAAACATCTATCAATCATTGAAATTTTTATAATTGTAAAAGATATTTCTTCTCGCGTCGTTCATGCAAGACGCCCAAAATGGATTGAGCCACGGTTGAGGCTTCCTGCATGCTTAAAGAAAGCAAGACGCGAGAGTGCTCCGCCGTATCAGACTGTTCAAACTCTATTTTTGGCGGCGGCAAAAACTATTCGATTGCTCTCGTCCAACAGTGTTTTGCTGTCACGCAATATCCGACTCGCTTGCTTCATTTTTTACAATAGGAAATCCACTGTGCGTCAAAAGTTAAGTTAATTAAAGAATTGCAGAACGAGAAAGACGTACCATAAGGAATGTTTAACGTTACAGATATATTTATTATTTTAATTATATTGTGTTTGGAATAGAGAATATTTTCTCAAGTGTAAAATAACATCGTGTTACATTTTCATGATAGTGACATTTAATAAAATATTTCACTGTCTCATGGAAGGTAGATTTATTTTGTTGAACTAGGCGAGGATTATGTCACGAAATTTCCAAGCACAATATAGACAGAGAGACCCGTGTCGCGCCTGCATATGTATCTCTCGCAGGTGTTTTTCTTTTCTTTTCGTCCGTCGTTCTCCGTGATTTCGGTGGCAGCGGTTATTTTTGCTCGGTGCGGGACGTAGTGATGTACGAAATACCACGGTTGGATTACATAATGGTTCAGCAAACCCTACCTTCTCTTCGTCAACCGATGCTGAAATGCTATTGTTAGCATCGCCGCTACCATTGGTAATAATAAATTGAAACGTCACTTCAAGAAACGCGGGTCGACATATTTTTAGAACGTCGAAAGCGAAACGGAGAGAGTCACGTATGAATGCGCGTATGGGACCAGATACAGGATCAAGAAATGCAAACCAGTTGCTGTATCTTAATTATAATATGCAGTCGCAGAGAATGCAAATTATATAGAAATGCATTTTAATTACTTGGAAGTAGTAGTTGTTAGGAAAAAAAAAACTATACTAGTAATTTATTTATTTAAACATATAATAATATAATAAAAATCTGATTAAATGATAAGAGCGCAAGTTGCAATTTGCATTGAAACGGGAATTAATTTAATGATCAACACCTTCGGTTAAAGTTTCATAGATCAGTGTTAAGATTTGATGACTAGAATTAATAAACTAGATAGACATTATTTTTTATTGAAACATATTATCAATACTTTGTATTTAACGAGTGTCTAAACGATTGAAGAGAATTCTGTTCGAATCTCTTTGAAAAAGGAGTTATACGATAAGTCACAGTAAAGACAGAGATAAACAGAGAGATTGCCCGCGCAGATAAAGCAATTCCACAAGGACCAACTGTCACAAGTGAATCCGCCGAAATTCGAAAAGATCGAGGACATAGCCGATTTGACATTCCTGAACGAGGCGTCCGTGTTACACAATTTGAAGCAGCGTTACTACAACAAACTGATCTACGTAAGTTGATTTCCTTCATTTTCATCACTAATCAGGTTTCTTTTCTCTTTCCCGCCGCGACAGACCAGGGACGTGAAAAAGGATCAGCTGCAGCAAGTAAACCCACCGAAATATGAGAAATGCGAGGATATGTCGAATTTAACTTACCTCAACGATGCTTCGGTCCTCCACAATCTGAAGCAACGTTACTACGCCAAACTTATCTACGTAAGGGCCATTTCGCATCCCAGGAGATCTTCTTCATGGTGTTTTCACCACCGTTACCTCTGTTTATTTTATTTTATTTTCCTCCTCGTTTAACTCTGCTTTCCTTGGAATGGGAACACCTGCCCCGGCCACTGACACCGTGAAAACGTTGGGACAAAGCACTTGGACGTGCCACCATATTTTACCATATTGCATGCCAGCGACTTGAGACACAGATCGATGGTACTTTAACGTACCGCGATGTCTCACCGCTAAGTCCGAATTTATTCTATAAATGCCCACAACGAATCTTCATTTTATCGAGCGATCTTCCAAATGCATGAACATTTTCAATGTCACCTAAAACTGCCCTGTACCTGTGGTGACGTTGTTCCTTTATTTTCGTACTCTTCAATACCACGACTATGAAGAGTTTGAGCAGCAAGACTTACCAGATGGCTGCTTTCACATCGGCTCCGCGATACACAAATAATAAAACGAAATGCGTGTACAGTGAAATCCTCGTCTCAAGACACGAGTCACTTCATTATAGTGTCATTTTTTTTACTAATGTACACTTACATATGTACGAGTATATTGCAGTTTTTTGCAATGATACTGTTGTCATAATTGTTAGAAAAAATTAGGTCAAGTGGAAAAAGCTGCAGTATATGTACATATGTATATTGCCATCAAGAAATCAGTGCTGTTTTCCTTCTTGTTAAGTATTAATTATTAAAATTGTAATTGCTGTAAGTTACACGATTCTACCTAAATTAGATGGCACTGATTTTTTTGATATACTTTTGTTTACCTATCTGTGTATATTGTATTAATGTTAATAATTAATTCTTAATTTCAGACCTACTCTGGCCTGTTCTGCGTAGCTATTAACCCATACAAAAGATTCCCCGTGTACACCCAGAGGTGCGCAAAACTTTACCGAGGCAAGAGGCGTAATGAAGTGCCACCACACATTTTCGCCATTTCCGACGGTGCCTATGTCAACATGCTTACCAGTAAGTATAATACTTTCCTAGTCTCGTTGTCAGATGATTTAAGACGAACAAATACCGCTGCTATATGCTCCCGTTCCTTTTTTCTATTCCAGACGCCGAAAATCAGTCTATGTTGATCACCGGTGAATCTGGTGCCGGAAAGACTGAGAACACGAAGAAGGTAATTGCGTACTTCGCGACCGTCGGTGCCTCGACCAAGAAGTCCGAGGAATCACAAAAGAAGGGCTCGCTGGAAGATCAGGTCGTCCAAACCAACCCCGTACTGGAAGCGTTCGGTAATGCCAAGACCGTGCGTAACGACAACTCCTCGCGTTTCGTAAGTACTTCTTCCTTTTTTAATCAAATCTGACAAAGAAGCGTATATTTCCTAGATCAAATTCGATGAAGTTTAAATGAGTTGCTTTTCCTGTGTCACTTCTCTCTTGTGCAAACTTCAATTATTTACCATATTGAAATCGAAAATTAAAGCATTGCTTAATGAACAGGGTAAATTCATCCGTATCCACTTCGGACCTTCTGGAAAACTGGCCGGTGCTGACATCGAAACATGTGAGTTTGCACTCGCTACTTTTAGCCGATTATAGCAAATGATACGAAAACTTTGATAGATTTCCGCTACGTAGATAAAGTGGGATTAATTTAGATAGAAGCGCAGTTGGCTTCAATTTGTTATTTCTTTTTTTTTTTGTTATACGTATGTTGTGCGTACGTTCGATTTTGTTTGCGTCACGGGTATTTCGTTGAATCATGATTGCATCATATGTATTTTGGAACCAGTCCAACCGATTGATTCGATTCGGCTATGAACTTGCTTTCTTGTGATATAGATCTGCTGGAAAAGGCCCGTGTCATCTCCCAACAGAGTTTGGAGCGTTCTTATCACATCTTCTACCAGATGATGTCCGGTGCTGTTCCTGGATTAAAGGGTAAGGCCATTCATTTTATAACTTGAAAATTGTTCGTGATACGACAAATCAAATGTTCAATTATATATCATAGAACCGGTTGTTTATGCAAATTTAAGAGTCTAAACGTGATGCACAGAAACGAAAAATCATTTCGTAGTGAGATATTTAATTAAGAACTTCCTGCAAAAGCATAAACAACCGCGATATATTAACGTAATACATTTATATTGAAACAGTGATCTATCCACAGAATCAGGCCTTTTTTTTAAATTATTTTGTTAAGTATATTCAAAAAGTATGAGATAGGAATTTTACAATTTCCATTTTGTTTAGATTAGTAATCGTTCTCAGGTAAATCCCTTTGAAAACTCTCGAACATATCCAATCCTCTGTTATTATTATAAGTGACTGATAAGTCGGAAAGCGTCAGGTTGCGGCAGAAACTATCCCAGGTACCAACAGGTGTATATAATATATAAATCGCATAATGTGACGAGTGCGAACGTCCGAGCATACTACCGACTGTTATGGAGCCAATCTTCTCCGGTCTGTCAGTTGTGTTCTCACTTGTTTGATTCTCCGTTCCATGTAGAGATGTGCCTCCTCTCGAACAACGTCACCGATTACTACTACGTCTCTCAGGGCAAGACTACGATCCCAAATGTCGATGACGGCGAGGAGTGTACTTTGACCGACGTAAGAACCTGACGATCGAATGCCAGGGCTACGCGCATCTCACTCTGTTTATCCCCTTACTCGCTACACTCGCCGCAGAACGATATTCTTTATGGCTTCTTTTGTTGTTGACTCCCTTTTCAATTTTTACGACCTTCTCCCCCCGACTGAATTTCTTTGATTGTCCGCTGTTTGTAGAATTATGATATCTCCCGACGAAAGGAGAAGCCCTAAGACAGCGTTCTCAGTCTTATTCATAATTTTTCATTATCAGCATTTATTATAAATTGTTACAGACAAGTTTCATGTTTATTGTTTATTGTTTATTGTATAAGATAAGACTGTGAATAACTGCCTTCGTGCTTCTCTAAAGTTCAATCCTCGTATTTTATAATAAGATCCCCTTAAGGTACAGGACTCTCAAATCTGTAGACTGTAGAGTATCTTCTACCACAAGAAAATCAGAAAGAAGACGAATCAACGGTACTTCAGAGAACTATACCGTACGCTGTTCCCACCCTTGTGACTACTCCATTAATGAATATACTTCTCCCGTTCCTAAATTGTGATGGTCATAAAAATCGCATACGTGCGAACTGTGAGACGATTTAGGAACGTCCCCCCTAAGACAACTTCTGTAGAGTTGTTCAATTTAACACACCCAGTGAATTTACTCGGGCGATTTTTTCGACAGAATCGTCGTCAGGTAGAAATTAATTGTACACAGCATAAGCTGGCCCATGTAGATTTTTCTCCCCCCCCCCCCCCCCCCCCCCCCCCCCCCCCCCCCCCCCCCCCCCCCCCCCCCCCCCCCCCCCCCCCCCCCCCCCCCCCCCCCCCCCCCCCCCCCCCCCCCCCCCCCCCCCCCCCCCCCCCCCCCCCCCCCCCCCCCC